TCTTACAGCAGAAAGCTGCACACATTCCTTTTTGAGAAAGGAATGAAAATAAAAAGAAGAGAGAACGCAAAAAAAGTGTGGTTTGGCTGAATATAAAGTGCAAACGCACAACTCGGCATATCAAGCTTGGGTCATATGAACATGAAAGCCGTTAACCTGGAATGAACAAAACAGGAGTCAGTCTTCCCCAACTGCTGTCAATCGGCACCAGCAGCTGTAGAAGAAATTGAGAAGAGCACACCTCCTGCACAGTAAGATTTTACTCATGATGCCAGCTTCAGAGTGAAGCTGACCAAGAAGTTCATGGACAACTGAAATGATTTAAGATATGCTCTGAATCAGTTTTGCTGTGTAGCCAGTACCACAATGGAAAGTCACCTGTAACAGAGGGCAACTCTACTTAGTTTCTGCTGCAGATACCAGCCTGACCCTGAAAGGAGAAAGAGAAGAGACACAGAAAAAAGAAAGGAGGGAGAAAACACCTGTAACAGAGAAGGTAACTAACTTTGGCACTGCAGGGTGTTGTTCACCTTTTCTCATCCAGTAACAATTCAGTGGCAATTTTACATACCCTTCTTGGGAAGAGCTTTTTCATTCCATCTTGATATTCTGGTTCATTATGGAAACAACCTAGAGTTACCTTTTGAAAGACTTCAGCAAAGTCAAGCTTCCATCAAAACCAACACTGCCAGATTGGAGGTTTCTGTACCCCAGAATAAGTACTGGTAGCAAAGGAATGCTACAGGCTGTATTAGTTAAAACCATTCTAGTTTTACTATGCAGAGATTTTTTTTCCCATGTCTCAACAGCCTTTACTACTCTGTTGCGAGGATTTTAAATATGATCTGAGCAAAACCAGGTATGCCAATCAAGTATGAATACCAAATACGGTATTTTGCTGATTTAGTAATCTTGAAATTCCATGAAGACATTCAGATCAATTAAGCACAAAGATGAATATGGTGGCAAGTGACAGTGAATCTGTAAGAATGAAACCTAGCATCTAGAGTGAGACCAATGAACTCCAGCAGTGGAATTTGCACATCTATTATGCCACAATTTCAGACATAAATTTCACATCAGAACTCCTCATTTCAGTAAGTAACACAGAACTGTCAGCCTATGAATTCTGCGCCATACGCCTCTGGTTTAGTTAATTTAATATCTGCAATACTGGAAGAGCTCTCCGCTTTAAATTTTTTTTAAAAAGAAATTCCTTAAGAAAAACAGCTTGTTTATATAAAATTAGTAATGAATAAATTCACTAAACATAAAATATACTCTCTGTGTAACAATTCTAACGGGTCCTTAAAAATGTCAGAATAGCTTTCATTTCACAGTTACCTGAATAGCAGGACAGACAGACAGGTGAATCAATGTAGTTTCTTAAAGGGGGGATTATATATTTATAGAGCTTGTAATTAAACAAACATGTATAATTCAGGTTTATCATAATCATAGAATCATAGAATCATTATGGTTGGAAGAGACCTCAAAGATCATCAAGTCTAACCATATACCCGATGCCACCATGCCCGCTAAACCCACTAAACCATGTCTCGAAGCGCCACATCTAAACGTCTTTTGAACACCCCCAGGGATGGTGACTCCACCACCTCCCTGGGGAGCCCATTCCATTGCTTAATGACTCTTACAGTGAAGAAGTTCTTCCTAATGTCGAGCCTGAACCTCCCCTGGCACAACTTGAGACCGTTTCCTCTTGTCCTATCGCTAGTTACTGGGGAGAAGAGATCAACGCCCGCCTCGCTACAACCTCCTTTCAGGTAGTTGTAGAGAGCGATAAGGTCTCCCCTCAACCTCCTTTTCTCCAGACTAAACAACCCCAGCTCCCTCAGCCACTCCTCGTAAGACTTTATCCTTTATCTCTAATTAAAATCTAAACATATGTTTTCTTTACCTCACTCATTAACCATTGTTTCTGTTTGAGTCCAATATCTAAATGCTGTGTTTCATCCAAAATCTCTTCTAGGGTTAATGGATGTGTATCACCACGCTGGTGCCGAGTCTGGAAAAGTAAGTAAGATCTATTAGAGTTCTGTACTTATTTTATTCAGCAACTCAATTATCATAAAGTAACTAAATTTGGTACAACATGATGACAAAACACCTTTTGCAAAACCAGGATAGACACAGTACACGTAGCGTATGAGTTTCAAGTCAGGGTTTTTGAGAATATGGGGGGGAAAAAAAATTAGTACCAGCTGAGACTGATGACAAAGTCACCTGTCAAGCAGCAAATTATACCTTATTTTGATAAATATCTCATGAATCCTAAAGGCTGACAGCACCTTGCAATTCCTATTTTTCCTGCAAATAAAAACCATTATCCTGGTTTTAAAGTGGCCCGGAATAATTAGGATTTCAGTAATGGAACAATATGCTGACCGTTTTGTTTATTGACAGCATTTTGAATTTAACAAGCAGTTTCTTGAAATTCTCACTCTTGCGGTAAAAGAATTTTAGAGTTTGAAATATTCATCATCTTTCAGCTATCACAGGAGAATAAACAACTAAAGTATTTAAAGACATTATAATTTTACATCAAAACATCGTACCTTCATATAATTCACTATTTTAGCAAGGACTCCAAACTTGTAGCCAGAGCCTCCTGAAAGGGCTTTTAAGTTAAACGATCCATTGCTGTGATCTAGAAAAGGAGAAAACAATTAAATGATGCTTTCAACAACACCCTGTTGGCTCCGCACTCCATCTCTTTCTCACTCCACTTCCATAAGCTTTCAGAACTACAGCTACGAACAGAAACGGGTGTCGCAGGAGCGGTCACCCTCAGAGGACTCTGTGTTAGCACACGAGTTGATGCAGACCCAAAGAGTCACCTGTCGACAGACACGGCTCTGCAACACTTCTGAGCAGAGCTCCATAAACACAAAGTTATTGGGACCTGACCTTTAAGAAAACAGCAAGCAGCTGCAGTATAACTACCATAAGAGTACATGTTTTATTCTGTGGCTTAACGTATCATAATAATTTATGCTACATTAATTCAGGCTGAAAAAATGCACTGCATTTTGCAGCATCACGCTGCTGAGATAGGAGCAGCAAGTTCCACTTTTTCCTAAAGGGTATTCAACGGTTACACTACCAGGTAAAGGACGGCTGTGCTTGTTGTGCTGGGCTTTTTTTTAATTTATTTAAAGTAGCTCTAGTGGAGAATTTCTTAAGAAAAATCCCATAAATTCAAAATTATACAACTTGGTGTGTTGCACCACTGGAACAACAATTAAGAATCCCCTCTGTTGTCAAGTCTGGTTCTGTCTTAATGTATCATGAGGTTTGCTATTGTGTAAGGCTTGTTTCAAAAATCTTGCAAGGTTGTTAATGACTGTTTTATTAACTTTAGCTATTAGCATAGCACATTAAACAGAAATACCTACAAACCACTATCAAAAGCTACAGGCCCATTACCAGCATAACATTGCCCAAACTTAATGGTAACAGCTTTTCAGAATTTCAGCTACTCCAGAAAAAGAGTATTTCCTCTTTGTCACCACAAGAATTTTTTAATCCACTAGTGATTTCTGATCACATTTGACAGGACAGCTCAGAGATACTGAGCCTCTATTATTTCTGTGGAATAAAATCGGTCGAGGGAGAGAAAAGAAGAATTAAAGTTAGTGCATTAACTGAGGGAGAGGTTGCAGCAGGTGCTGAGCAGAGCTGCTAAGCAAAGCCTTTGCTGTGCTGGGCAGCTGGAGGATATGGATGAGAATGGTGATGAGGAGGAGTGGAAGGGCTCAGGGGTTTGTGGTGGTGAAAAAAGAAAGCAAAAAGCAAAAAGAAAAGATCATTATATTCTAGAAAACAGACCTAACGTTCAATAAAGACCCATCGCCTCCACCAAGTAAGCGGCAGGCTTAAAGAAAGTCTGCTGCATTCACTGTGTTTGAATTTAGGTGCCTTTGCCAAGTTCTTCATGGGAAACATCAAATTAAGTTTTCAAAGTCACTATGCCTCAGGTGAATTATTTTTCATGTCTGTCTTACTACATCTCAACCTACTTCTCACTTGATCTGTAAGTCACTATAAAAGGCAACTACAAAGCAAGACTTTTGGATGTAGTCAAATTTCAAACAAATCCACTTTTGACAATTATGGGGAAGACTTCATGGCCACTGGTGCTAGTATAGTAAAAAACACAATGTCGAAGGAACAAACGTCAAATTTAAAACTCGGCAACTGGTAATTGTGAAGCTATTACATGACATCGTATTAGAAGCTTTACATAGCACAACAATTCTAAAATTAATGTAGAAGAGTCAGTATAACTCCAGTTACAGAAGAACATTTTATTCTGGTTACTAAATTAAGATGGAAAAAAGGAAAAAAACAAAAGCCAGCTCCCCCTGAAAATACAGCCTGTAGGGATTTTCCCCTACAGGGTTCCCTTTTATCATTAAAAATGAATGTCTATGCAGGACATTCTATAAATTAAAAAAAAAAAAAATCATACGTGTAATGAGAGTTCTAAAGTGACTTAAATAAATTCAGAGGTATGACAAATAGTTAAGATGACTTATCATGTATTTGTTCTGTCAATTGAATCAAGAAGATTATCTCGTTTAATCTGCCTGGCTACAGCCTGCTACAGTTCATGACAAGTAAATCTAACCACAGGGCGAAGCTGGAAATCTGCAGATATTAACACTTCAAACGTCATGGTTTGACCAGCTGCTTCCCAGCACAAAGCAAAGCGGGGTCACGACCACCATCGCACTCCCAGCGCGCTCCTCTGCTAACAAGCTCATCACGCACAAAGAGCATCCCAAAAATGAGAGCGGGCAGGGGTGTGTCTCTTTTTCAAGACAGTAAGAGTCAAATTTATGAATGATTTACTCCTGGGGTTGAGGGCTTGATGCAAATGAGCGTAAAGGAAGTTGTCAGCAGCATCATGCTCTGGCCAATGGTAGGAAAGCTCCATCTTAGCTGTGCCATAGGCTGCGTTAAAAAAAGGGACCAGAACAGCGCTCTTTCAGCATCCTTTCAGACAAGAGGTAGGTGTGCATCATTTTATAACATTGTCTTAGGTTTATCTTGATTACTGAAAGAAAATATGCCTGTAACCTACAAGCCTGTAAAAAGCTTCTTAGAATTAGAATGATTTTTCTCTAGCTTTAGCAGGATTTTATTCCACTGAACGCAGAGGAGCTTGTCTTGCACTATCAGACAAGCACTTTCACCATCTGTGCACTAATGGAAAATTGATGACCACTCCATCTTACAGAAAAGCTAATACACGAAGCCAAGATTCAGTAAACAAAATGGATTTCATGTTTACTGGGAAGGTAGCCTGTTTCCTGCAGCCTCACGTTCCTTGCAATTGATTCTATATGTTTTTACAGAAATGACAGTGAAAGGATTTTCCTTAAAACAAAGACAGCTAAACCTGAAATTTAAGAAATGCATCTCCCAAGTGGGTATTCTGTAAACCGTATCAAGTAAGCTGCCTAAAAGAGATCTATGTTTGTGGATATACTGGAAACCTGTTCTAGAAATTTGGTACGTTAGGGTAGGAAGAAAATCCCATTGCATATTATTATCTTTGTAAATGTTGCAGCAGCGATCAATACAATACAAAAAGGGTAGAATCCATCTGAGATTTGTAAATGCTATTACCCCAAGATGTCTATTCAGTGGTTTCTTAAACAGGACTTCCTCAGTACTGCATTGAAATGATTTTTTGCCAGTCATTTCCCTCTGCTCCGTGAATACGATTTCAAATAAAGCTGCTCCTCTGCAGTGTCTAAAGATGATGATACTTTTAAATTAAAACCTAATACAAGTATTAGAGAAGCCAATTCATTAAATATTTAACTCACTGCATTTTTGATACATACACTAGCTGAATTGCATTCAAATCAGACTGGTTTACAATATGAATTTAAATTGTGCCATTACAAAACAAGTAAAACTGCAGGAAATCTGACCATTTTTGACAGCTTTCAAACATGCTGACCTTATTAGCGCTGTGTTAATTCTGAAGGCTTGGCAACAGCTACTTCAGTCCTGTATTTTAATAACTACAGCAATGAGTAGCTGATATTTATCTGCCTCGCCTCATTCAAATCTACGGAGATCATCATGATCCTTGGGAAGCAGGAACCACCTCCAGCACGGGCATTAAATGCCAGCTCCCTGTGTAAAGACGAGCTTCTCTACGCTGTGCAAACACAGTGCCCTAATGGTGGCTGTGGAGTGGGAAGGGGCCAGCTGCTGCACTGCGCCGGCAGCCGAGTGGCAGGGAAGCCATGCCGTGCCGAAGATGCTCCTCTCCTCTCGGGAACAGAGCCACCGCCTTGGCGGAGAGCTGAGCCGGCAAAGGGTTCCAGCTATGCAATGTAAACATGCCCAGTCTCTCCAGCGGCCTCAAATCTTGATCACTTTCAGCAATGACTAAAATAACAAATTTTGCATCAGCAGAAACAGTTAATTTGTGTGCCTGGTGTTTACAGGGTGAGCAAACTTATGTGTAACAGATTCCAAGAAAATCCTCAGCCTTAGGAATCTGTTTTAAAAAAGTTCAAACCAAAACTCCCCTCCTTTCTTTCCTGAGGATAGTCTCTTGCCATTTAAAATACACATTTAAATTCTGCTTGTTTTAATTACCACTCAAAGGGGACTCCAAATCCTTTTATTCAAGCCCCCTCCCAATTTTCGTGTAAGTCTTCAGACCACCCTTTCAAATACCCTCCTGACTTTTAGCCCCTAAAACAGGTCAGCTGAGTTTCCTTCCTAGACTGTGACCAAACCAAGCCACACTCCCAAAGCCAGGACCCAACTCAACTCGGGAGTATTTTTAGCTTGGATTTGCTCTGTAAACTTTTGTTTAAGGAAAAAAAAACCACAAACCCAAACAATTTAATTAATCCTATCCATCTCGGTCATACTTTGTGTATTCAATTACAAATTTGTGTATTCAGTTACAGATTTAATAGAGGAAACAGTAAGTTACTGCAACTGCTCCAATAAATGTCTCTATCAAACGCTAATGCCAGGTATCTTCCGAACAACAAAGCCGTTCCGTTCCAATTTAAATCCATTAAAGACAAAAAGATAAAGAACAAAATGTATAATATTTGAACAATAAAAATAACATCTAAATTGCAAGCTGGTTTGGCTGTATCATCCTGGTTTTCACAATATCCTTTTTCTTAATAATGACACAAAAATAACGACAGATGCTTAGGCTGCTTTAAGTAATCTGGTTTTACAGACAACATCACACTTTGCCTTTGTCACTTCCCATTTATTCAGGCATTTTGTAGTTTTCACTGTCTAAACTTAAGGTTGATTGCAGAATTATTTCTGAGATACACAAGGTCCATTAAGGTATTACCTGGGAGCACAGTTTAACGAACAAAACATCAGCGTTATCCCTTCTTCTGTAGTTTTGATTACTGAATGAAATTAAACTAAATGTGGGTAGCCAGGACTATTTTGTAATGAACATAGCTAGGTTTTGACTTTTTGCTTTATGTTCAAAGCAAAAAATCTTTCACTGAGGCACGGAAATGAGACTCCAGGGTTTCTACAAAGTGACCACCTTGTCTCTCTCTTCCCCTTCCATAATCCCACATTTTCTGGAGCACCCTAGCAGACAAAAGCATGTTTTGCGAGCAGTCCCTTAGCTGGCACACGCTCACCGACAGGCTTACATGCTAGGCACAGGCTGGTCCCTCAGTGCTGCTCGCCACCATGTTTCACCTAAAAACTCCTTGGTACTGCCTCAAGGGAACACAGAGATCTGACTCGACCTCCTTCTCCCACACCCAGTTTTAATTTGCCTGAAGGATTCAAAGCTTATTATGGCGTCCTACCAGAAGTTACTGTGGCTCCTGGGACACTTTTTTATTGCATTAGACTATATACCAAAAGTACTTTAAGTTCCCTCAGTTTTGGGAAGCAAAGCTAGGGAAGGAAGGAAACTGGGGGGCGGAAAGAGATGCATAACCGTAAAGATGTTATTGCCAACCACCTCATGTGCCTACTTATCCGTAATTCACAGAGAAATTCAGAGACAGACAAAACTGCTTTTTTGCTCTAGATATACTCCAAAAATTACTGAGGCACAGCCTACTTTCACACTTTTGAGCAATGGCCTTTCTGAAACAGCACATCTCGACAGCACTACCATTCGCGCCAAAGGCAGATTTGCTAAAGCCAACTTCTTGTTTCGTCTCTCCCCCATGCCACAAAGCAGTCTTTTCTTCTGCTGGGTACAGACAGACAGTATTGGACCAAAGACAACATTCCTTTCCTAGCAGTTAAGCAGAGAATGCAGTCGAAAATAAGAAACCAGAACTCCTCAGAAAGGGCCGGGTTTTCCTTGTTATCTATCCTAATGACCGCAGCACCACAAATGGGCTGAGCCTTCGAAACGTGCTCAGTGCTGTTTGGGCAGTTGAACGAAGCAGTTGGATTGCTGAGCACAAACTTCCACTCCAGCAGGAGAATGAACGTGTCAGGAGATCTGGCCTTCGGAAGTCAAAAGAGTTTTGCAGGATGATAGACAATTTGATAGGCAATTCTAAAATAATGAGTTTTCAGGAACTAGGATTGTTATTTTGTACTAGAAGAATGACCAAAAGTTCAGTTCCATTCTTTGGAAACATCCTGCAAAATAGTTATGATTTATACATTTTTCTAAAGAGTGATTTCTTTCTTTCTCCCAGATTAAGAGAAAAAAAACCCCAAACCAAACAAGCAAGCAAACTCCAATGACATTAACATGCAGTAAGTTCTTCTAATCAGTCAGGTATGGGAGGGTGGTACATGGATCTCCTGCTTTTCTAAGAATGCAAAAGAGTATTGAGGGCTTTCACACCATGCAAGTACCAATCCTCTAGACTAACAATGGACAGGTTGTTGAAACCACTGTATATCTTGAAAATTATCTTGGTAACCTTTTTGTCTTTGCATATACTTGAAATAAAGAAGCAAAGCTCTCTCATTCCAGAATAACTTACACTACATGACGCATGCATGGACCAGTCATCACTGAAATAAACGCTCCAGACAAATCACAAAGTTGTACATTTGGAGTTCGATACTTTTGTGAGCAAATATGAGTATGCAACAATCCATGTTTGTAAGAGATGCAAGTACTTAGTCTGAGCTCAAGTTCCTACAGTTTGGGATAAAAATCACAGCACGTTCTTGATCAACAGAGCCCTCAACAGCTTTGTTTTTCTCTTTCAGCCCCCAAATCCGTGGCAGTGAGCACACCAAGACAACTCTTCAAGAATGGCAACCCTCAACTCCACTCACTGGAACGAGACTACATCCATTTCCCACTACCTGGGCTTTCAAGTGCAAAAAATTTACCCTTTCCATGATAACTGGAACACCGCCTGCTTTATTATTCTGATCATATTCATCTTTACTGTAGTTTCTCTGGTGGTGTTGGCTTTCCTTTACGAGCTGCTAGACTGTTGCTGCTGTGTGAAAAATAAAACTGTGAAAGACTTGGAAAATGAACCCAATCCTGTTAGAGCAATGATGAACAGCTTCCGAAAGCGTGAAACAGAGGTGGTGTAGGAAGGACTGAGCATCAGCACTTCAAGAACATTTAACACCTTGAACGAAGCCTCTTGTACCTTACGAATGAGCAACTCACATGCTTTTTTTCTTTTGGACTTATCATTTTATCTCTGGATGTGAACTTGAATAATTAGCAAAGGCTTTCTGAGCGCTTAGCAGAAGGATGATGTGTTGCAATGTTATGGGAGAACAAAAATTTTTGGTTTTAAGTGAACTTTTGTTGTTTATATTGAATTACTAGCATAGATCTTTGTCTACCTGAAGGAAGAAATGTTGCCTAACGTACATAAAACCATATTGCTTAACTGGAGAAAACGTTTATAAAAATACTCAACAATCTGTTCATACATAGTGCAAAGACACAGCAGTGTCCTCCCACTGAGGTCAACCACACAGAGACAGGGAAGACATATAAGGGGCGAGAAAAAAAAGATACAAGATAGAAGATGAGAGACGCCATGAGACAGGACAGGTTTGTGTGAATTCTTGCCTTCAGCAGCTCTTCTTATTACGGGTTTCTTGCTTTTAGAAGAGAGGGTGGTGGGAGGAAAAGTCAGCCAACATGAAACATATCCCTAAAATGGTCTTTTCTAACCTCCTGTGGCACAATTTGACCCGTTCTCCCTCCCCTTCTCCAGTTCCAGAGAACTGCTCTCCCCTTACTTCACATGCAACCTGTTTAACAACTTTTGGGTGATCAGACGTGACTAATGCACTACCTTAAGAATATCTGACTATTTCCACAAAAGCCTACTGTAGTGGTACTACAGTCTAGAAGAAACAGGGACATTTTTCTGCCCGAAGGCTGCTGCCTCTATGGTAACCACAACACTACAGGGAGTCAGACATGCTGGATATATCATCCCTACCTTAACTTTTCAAAGCTGAACTGCAACTGACCGAGTTCTTGCCAAGGAACACTCCCACACCGAAGACACTAATTTCACCCAGCCTGTACCCAGCTTTCAGGAGTCGACATGCTTCACAAAGGAGGCTGCACCAGCATAAGCCTTCTGCTAGAGACAACAGGATGGAGGCACAGCAAGAAGTGACTTCATTCTTGCACAAGAGAATCTCGGCTTGCTTCATCAGCCTGCTGATGCATCCCAGAGAGTTCACGCACATCTTTCTCACAAACTGGCCATATAACACTCAGACCTCTAGCTCATCAGATTATTTTTCTTCTGTAGCTGCATTGTGTCTATAGTTTTTAAAACCATAAAAGTTTTGCAGTTGCAAATTACAACTGTAATAACAGCGTCCAACAGCGTGGCCATCAGTAATGCCCGGTATGTCTTTCACGTTCCGGAACCCATAGAGAAGCATGTAAGCGAGAAACGTCAGAGATCAAAGCTACACATGGGACAAGATGTTTAACTATATAAAACCCAAATAACATTCCCATCATTAGGGAAACAAAACTCATCTAATGGTCAAATGGATAAATAAGCTACAACACTGATCTCACAGTCTATCCATGCAAGAAATACCTCTGTCCTATGGCCAGTACCTATAATTATCTCTTTTTTTTTGTTTTGTTTTGTTTGGGGTTTTTTTTGTTTTTGTTTTGGGGTTTGTGTGGGGTTTTGTTTGTTTGTTTGTTAAAAATATATCAACTTCCTCTATCAGGTTCACTATGTCTAAGCTCCAGAAGATCTGGACACAATGAAAGACTTGCTAATTTGACTCGTGCTCTTCCTGGTTGGTGAGATGGAGTCACAAGATACCCAGGCCACACCGCTAACCAGCACAGCTAGTCCAGTGATTCACCTGGAGAAGCAATCTCCCTTCTGCAATCACAAAATGACACAACTACCGCTGCAACCATTCACCTCAGATATACTTGTTACAGTGAAGTTTCACCAGTACCAGTCCCACGTGCAGAGAATGCTTTTAGCTAAAAATCAAACTATAAGCACAATTAATGGAAATTGACGCCCCAGGCACAAGACAACTTAGGATTCACACCAAGACATATGACGAAGATAATGTTAACAATGATAACACCTTCCGCTGTCAGGGACACTGGGTAGATGGCTCATTACCTTCGGCTGTATTTGACAGCATCAGACGTGAAAGACCAGTGCCCTGCTCAGGAGAGGCAAAAGTAGCCATCGGGATGCACTGAATTAAGTAACACGCCTCTCTCCTGAAAGCAAACACCCCGACCGGCAACAGGACTGCTGGCCACTTGCAGCATTCCAACACAGCACTCATCATCGCCGCACACAAGAAGGCAGTGTGCAGGAAGTAACACAGCTAGCCTCTGCTACGCTGGCTTCATGTTCTTATGCCTTCCTGAGAAGCACACGCAATGAAAAATCTTGGGACTCATTCCAGCTACTTATTTCACAGATCTATAAAGGGGGTTGGGGGTTGGGTGTCTGCACAAGGAACAGAAGACGAAGATCTCCCTTTGCACAGCCCCAGAGCCTCAGGACAATTCTTTCGCATATGTAGACTAAGTTGTGGAACAGCTCCTGGAGATTTCAGCTCTTGATTACTGTTGGCTAAGACCATCAACACAAAGGTCTTAAGACAAGGACTAAGACCTTAGCCACAACTTAGTATTCATTAATAAAAAGAAATAAACAGATATGATCTATTTCATTTATTTTTCAGTTACTATCCTGAACTGAGCAAAAGGGCAGTTTTGAATTTTTTCAAATAACTTGTTTGAATAATGATTTGAAAAAACTACAGTAATAACTATTCTCACCAGAAAGCTTACAACAAATCTTCACACACAAAGGCCAGATGTAGCTATGCAGTCATTTGAAGATTAGTATGATCTCAATGCCTCTCCTCCCCAAAAAAGGGACAAGGGACAGGTTCTCTGAGTCACAAAATCACAGAATGAGGGAGAACCTGCAGGTACCACACACCCAGGGACTATCAATGCCAACACATAATCACTGTGACATTATTTATTGTCTTTGTGGTCACTACACAACAAAACTAGGACTGATCATCTTAATTTTAATTTCTTTGGGAGGGTGGGACGGGGATTCTTCAACATCAGGCTTTTACTCCACCTCCCCAAGACCCATTTCTGACAGACACATATTCTGACAGGTACCTAACAATCTGGCAATTCAAATAAAAAGCAGGTTTTGAGGCAAAGGTCTTTGACTGTGCAGCATCATGGGGCAACTTGTGCTGTTTGTGGCTGCTTAACCCATTCAGTCACTTGCCAGCCTGGACACTTGTTCTGAGCCTGTTCCTAAGAACAAGAGGGAGAAAGTTGGTCTGCTCGCTGTTATTTTTCTTCCATCCTTGCTGCTTCTGCAGTAAACACTCTCCAAGGGAAAATGAAAGGAGGCCAAACTCATTCTGCATTAAAACGTTATACAAACCCTGAAACCTTTCTGATACTGTCTGGAATGAAGCCAGCAGTGTAAAAGATAAAGCATATTTCCTCACAGCCATGCACTCCTATTTGTGTAAGCTAATCATTTGACAGCTGCAAAAGCACTTAAAGAAATACCCAGCCCACAAAACCACAGAAAAGAAATTACACCTCCTTTATCTGCTCTGCTGTTTGGCCACATACTTACTCAAATCCTCCAGATCAGACTCACATTTGAACTGCCCGTCCTCTTTCTGCCTCCCCATCCCTCTTTCCCAGCAAACTGCCCTCACTCAGGATATGCAGTTTAGGATACTCCACATATTTTATTTGGAGAGGACACTGTGGCAAAGGGACTGAGGGAAACCTGGCCTCCCTTGATTTATTTTAAAATGTCTGGCTGATAACTTTATTCGGTGCCCTGAGAAGCTGCAGATACATAAGCAA